AGATCTGGGTTTGTCTCAAGCCATTTCTCCATCCACCTCCGCTTCTCTCCTCACTCGCCATTTCTCCTTTGAATTAACGGATACTGTTGTGAAGATGAGCTTGAAGCTTGGCGTCATGGCCCCCGCACGGCTTTGCAACAGCAATGACTGGTATGCACCGTCGTAGGCTCACTGTAGGCTCGGCTGCGTCGAGATCTAGCTCTGTCAGCTCCAGCTCCAGCAGTAACATGCGTCAGGATCTAGCTCACTGTAGACTCGGACAATGAGCTAGCCACTGATGAGAGCTTCATTTTTGTTATGTTTTTTTTTAACTCTTGTGGTTTTTTTTTTTTATTTTTTCAAACTTGTGGTTTTTGTTTTGTTTTTTCAAACTCTTGTGGTTGATTCTTGGTCCTGATTTTGCTATTTTTCTTTGTCTTGATGGAACTGGAACTAGAATTTTTTGTTCTCTTTAAACCAGTGCTTGCTGGTTTCTGTGTTGATTTCGTCGGCATTTTAGGTTTTGGTTTGCTACATATCGAGTCTCCGGTGGTTCGGTACTGTTTCTTTTTGATTTATTTGCATCCATGTGAGTTGACTTGGTTTGATGAAATTCGAATATGTATTTGAGGTTTTTTTTTAGACTGTGATTTAGTTTCTCTTTGTTGCATTTCAATGGTGTCAAAGGAGTCATTTGGGTTTGAGAAAAACCCAGATCTTGGTTTGATTTGGAGAGGAAAAGGAAGGGACAAGAGAGAGAGAAAGTGAAAGAAGAAGAAGAGATGACATGGAGGTTTTATTGTTAGATTGTGATTTAGTTTCTTTTTTGTTGCGTTTTAGTGGTATCGAAAGAGTCATCTGAGTTTAAGAAAAACCCAGATCTGGGTTTAAGAAAAACCCAGATCTGGGTTTGATTTGGAGAGGAAGAGGAAGGGACAAGAGAGAGAGAAAGTGAAAGAGGAAGAAGAGATGACATGGAGGTTTTATTGTTAGACTGTGATTTGGTTTCTCTTTTGTTGCGTTTTAGTGGTATCGAAGGAGTCATCTGAGTTTAAGAAAAACCCAGATCTGGGTTTGATTTGGAGAGGAAGAAGAAGCGACAAGAGAGAGAAAGTGAAAGAGGAAGAAGAGATGACATGGATGGAAAAAAAAAATTCATTATTTTTAAATTAAATAAAATAAAATGCCAACTCATAAAAAAAAGGTGCCATGTCATTAGTTAAGAAAAAAAAATTGATTTGTTGGCAAGTTAACGTGCCACATGTCCATTTAACTTACGAAAGGACGGTTTTGGTACCGAAAATGAAAGTTTAAGGATAATTTTGATACTTTTTAAAGGTGAGGGACAATTTTGATACCAAAGTAAAAGGTTGAGGGATAAAATGGTACTTAAACCTTCTTTTTTCAAAAAAATGGCCAACCGAATAGGCCATACAAGTTGGGTCAATTTTGCTTTTGATTCGGCTCAAGCTTAATCACGTTATCAATTTTTTTGGTTAAAATCAAATTAAGAAAAAAATGATCAAACTGGTCTCAAATTCCACCATGGCTAGTCTAGAATTTGACCCTCATATTCCACGATCTTGGATTAGTTCTCAAGTCCAAAATTGTTAACCGGTTGATCAAACCAGTTCTGAACCTAACTGGCCTCAGTGTCATCCTTACTTTCTATAAAAGAAAAGAAAAAACTTCCAATTTGGGCCTTTAAAGCTTTGCCACAGGCATAAATCCAACTTTTAATATTAGATCTATTGGTAAAAAAAGTATAATCTTATAATTTATATTTAGGGTGTAAGTATTAAGTTAGTGAATAAGAAAATTAATTTTTTTGAATGCATAAATTTAATATAAAAGATGTGTTTTTAAGATCTTCTAAAAGAGATTACTTGTCAAGAAATTGGCATAAAAATATGCTAATAATAAACATATAAAACAATTCGATGCTCCATCCTGATTTTTTTTTAGTGGCAATTTAAAGTAAAGCATCAAGATATGTCTCCCATTATCAGTTTTTGATACAAACAAATTAATTGGAGGGACCTAACTTCTCCACTAATGAAAAGTTATATAATTACTAATATGATGTAAACATTCCCCTTGGCATGGATGGAGAGATAATAACTTAATCCATGATTGCTATATTGTTTTTTTGTGTTGTATACAATATCTGTGACTGTGACGGTGGAGAATCTGATTCCCATGCCTCCTGCTACTAGAAAATAAAAATATTAATTAAGGTAATGATTGTAACTAATTATGTATATATACTATATCAAAAAGGGAAAAAATAAATATATATATATATGTATTATATTGCGTTAGTTTTCTAAATAATTTATCATCTTAAAAAAAAAGGAAATTAAGTCTACTCTAGTGCCAATGTCAATATTCAACCTGTAATTAATTAGAAATATGGCTGAAATAAGTCATATTAATTATATTTAAGTTCATAAAATTCTCTTTGTTTATATTGGACATAAAATTTTCAAACTTAACACTTGCAAAGTATTTGATTTTCAGATTAGCATATAGTTTATTGATGGACTAGATTTGGAAAATTTCTCTTTCCTACAATTTTTTTTTTTTTCTTAGTTGCACAATGTAAAGTAACCATATTTCTTCCTTTGTTACTATTCATCTGCATATCATGCTATTCGAACTCACAATCTCTTATTTTCAATTAAAAAAATAATTATTAAATTACTTAAATTCATTAGTTCTTTTCTACAAATTTATAAATTAAAACTTTTTTAAAACTAACTTATAAACTATCTAAAAAGTCAATTCACAATTTTTCCTAAAATAAATTTTTATATTTGTGAGAGAGTAGCTTAAAAATTCCACCAAACATTCCCTTAATCCATAATACCTATCCTAAGAAAAAAACGTTGTCCAAGTAGAATGGTCCACACACTCATAAAAAGAAAATAAAAAAATAAAATAAAATAAAATATACACACATATGCTCGGTGTTCCTAAACAAATCAGTAAGGGCGAAAAATTCCAATATACTGACCCATCAACCTGCTGTTATCAAACCAAAAAACATTTAATTCCAAGGCAAGAAATTTAAAAAGGCATTATGAAGTGACAGCATCAAAAGAAATGGTACGTTCTTGTCGTAGCGCCATCATGCCTCTGGACATTAGCTTTCAAGGTGAGTGTGGACTCAATTTCTCAAAACTTTTATGATGAGCTTTCTTTAGGTAGATATTATCGTGTGGGATACTTTGTCTCCATCGGTCCACTTTCTTCTGTCGATATGTTCAACTTAGCCACACATTTTGGCTCTGAAAAATCATCAACTCATTTGCTCACGTCTCTTTGTACACTTAGGCTGGTTTTTAAGGGTTTTAGATTCCATCATGGGGGCCCCTATTAAGGCAAAATGGATTAGGATTGACATCGCTACATCACAATTATGTTTTTTTCTTTCTTTTTTTTTCAGCGCTACATCACAATTATGTAATGGGTACATAGTTGGGAGATTCCAATAAAGCAATTTCTCATCTACTTTTTAGATTCGATATATTCAGTCACATAAGGTGGTTCATTTTATAAAGTTAAATTGTTGTGATGTACAAATGATCTGTTCACTAGATCGGCATCTTTTAAAAGTTAGATGCTTGTTGTGATAGGTAAGTAGGTAGATAAAGTTATTGAGTACTGCCTTAATGAGTTATATATATAATTTGTGTGCTTGTGTTTTTTATTTTTTATTTTGTTGGTATTTATAATTAAAATATTTTTAAATCAATTTTTATATATTTTAAAATTAGTATATTTTCAAACGATATTAAAAATACACTTTTATATTAATTTAGTGCATTTAAGAAAATATATTTCTTTAAGTGTTAATATCAACACTTGAATTATAGACCCGATCTATAAAACTATATTTATCTATTAATAGATCCAACTTTTTGGGTTACTATATTATGTTATAACAGAAAAAAGGAATGCAACTCACTGAGGAAGAAGTTAGATAAACAAACAAAAAATTGCAACTCACTCAGAAGGGGATAATTGGGCCAAAAAACATCTTTACAGAATTACAGGGATTTTTTAAAAAGTTTTTTTTTCTAAGTGGTGATAGGAGACTGTCAATTTTGAGATTCCAGTTTCATATCATCAAAAGTGTCATCACCCTACTTCTCAAAAAGAAATGTGACCACTGGACCGACACATGTGATTCACAAAATTACAGGCGCATGGTTCAGACATCCATTGCAACTTGCAAACAAACGGGTTTTAGATTTTGAGCCCAGTGAGACCTGTAAATTGATTAACAAGCTTTATAGATTAGCCCACTAGAATGGACCGCAAGCTGCGGCCTGCAAAGAGGTTTTGGAAATACTTCCTTTGCTTTCCGGCTTCCACTAATATCCAGATCTTGTGCTGGTTTCGATTTTGAACCGACGGTTCGAATTTTACAAGGCTGGAGTCGACTGAAGGCTGCAGCCAGTCCACCAATACAGGGGATTATTTTGTGCTTCTAATAAAATAAGAAATTGAGAAAAATCTGGATATTTTGGTAAATAAAATGTTAAAAAATAATAATAAAATAGTTAAAATATTTTTAATAATTAATAACATAT